TCCACGGCGAGTTTCTTTGTGATAATCATGGAGATTACACTTAATACTCTAAAGTAACAATCGAATTTGAACTGTTTCACTCTAACTTCAGTAACACAGATTCTTTTCTGTCTTGACCCATTTTGGTTATCGATTTCACAAAACTACATCTTTATTTATTGTGTTCTGAAGCATAAGCTGAAGTTTTAAAATAGTTTCTTAAATTATATAGGAAACAAAAAGTGGAATTATAACATCATTGTTACAATAATGGCAGCATTTATAACTACCTATACATTTATCCTTATTGAGATCTTTAGTTTTTCATACAGCTTCAAGGTATTATGTCCTTACCAATCATGCTATAGAAATCCCTTGCTGCTGCAGTGGCAACAAACTCAGGTTTTATGTCTTTGAAAGGACATTTGCAGTAGATACAGGCTTCTTGGTTGACATGTTTTCTTTTAGCATTTTGAATATACCAGTATGTTACTTTCTGACCTTCAGAGTTTCTGATGAGTACATTGATAATATTATTTACAATTCCTGGTATGTATGGTTGCTTCTGTCTTACTGCTATCAAGATTTTAAAAATTCTAGCTCAGGCTTCTGGCAATTTAATTATCATATACCTCATGGTGGGTCTTTGAGTTGGTCTTACTCAGAGTTTGTTCATTGAGCTTTTTGAATGCTTACACTTATATTTTCTATGAAATTTGGAAAATGTTCAGTTATTATTTCTTCAAATTCTTTCGGCTCATTTCTCTCCTTTGTTCTTCTAAGACTCCCGAGTGCATACACTGGTCTGCTCAATTATATCCAACCAGCTGTCTCCATTTTTCTTTAATCATTTTTGTTTCTCAGAGTTGGCAATATCCACTGTCCTGTCTTCAGATTTGCTTCTTTTGCCTCCTAAAATCTGTCTTTGAATCCCTGTAGTGAATTTTTATTTCAGCTATTGTACTTTTCAGTTCCAGAATTTCTTTTTGGTTTCTTTATAGAATTTATCTGTGAGAACTTCACATATTTGTTCACATATCATTTTTTGTGACTTTTTCCACATTTCTCTTTTAGCATCTTTAGCAGAATCTTTTTTAAAGGAAAATCTTTTTAAAATAGATCTCTATCAAGTCTTCAGTTTCTGCTTGTTTATTTATTCCAATGAATGAGCTATCCTTTTCCATTCCCTTGTATGCCTTGGGGTATTGTGTTGAAAACTGGACCTTTTAAGCTAATGCTCTGGTAGCTCTGGAAATAAGATTCTCGCCTTTGCCTGAGGTTTGCTGTTTTGGGGGTCAGTTATTGTCACTGTTGAAAGGTACCAATGCCAAAGACCAGCCTGAGATGTAATATAAACTAATGCTCTTCCTGGCTCTTTTCTAACGTGTGAGGCCACTTTGTAATGTTTTTCATATTTAGCTTTTTAAAGATTGTAGTGCTGGGATTGAACCTAGGCCCTGCAGCATCTAGGCAAGTGCTGCATCACCAGACTATATCCCCAGGCCTTATTCAATTGCTTTTATTTTATTTTTTCAGCAAAACAAACTTTTATTTTCTTGGCCATAATGATTGATAAATATGTCTCAAATAAGAAGTAGTGTGTGTAGAATAAATCACTTGTGCCTTTCACAACAGAACGCTCTTCATGCTCATTTCTTGTATTGTCCTCTAAAAGGCAAGAATTAGCAAATAATAATCCTGTAC